CACCACAACGAGCACACGTCACAGAACCACGACAAGATGTCTTTGAGTGACCGAACCGCTGACACTGAAAACATCGGAGAGGGTTGGGAATATAGGGTCGTACCTTACAGTCGAGCCTCAGGATAAGATTGATGTTATTAATAGTCTCCAAACGCTGTACCTCTTTTTCCTCCACCCACTTAGGGCAAGACCTAAAGTAGGAGGGGTGGGAACCACTACAATTAACACAGTGAGGGTCCATTTTGCACTCGTAGGAGTCATGTTCCTTGCCACCACAACGAGCACACGTCCCAGAACCACGACAAGATGTCTTTGAGTGACCGAACCGCTGACACTGAAAACATCGGAGAGGGTTGAGAATATAGGGCCGTACCTTACAGTTCAAATAACCTGCCTTAATGGCGGCAGGTGGACGTGGTGATTAAAACATCAAAATTAAAACTGAGGTTGGCACCATAATTCCATCTTGACGAGTGGAGATCCTTCGAACTGCCGAAACTCCTTGATTGGAGAAACCAGCAAGGATCTCCGTCTCGGGGATAGACTTCAAGTCCCTCTCAACAATAACTCCTCGTGAGGAATTCAAGGAAGCGTGGGGAGTAACCTCAATGGGTATATCCCCAATGACCTTTGAATTCAAGAGAAGTTCACTGTGCTTACCTGTGGAAGTTTCTACTAAGATGTCTCCAGAACGGAGCTTCTTAACTGACTTTGGAGAGCCAGCAAGCCCCTCTAAGCCCTTCTGAATAAAAAAAGGAGACATTTGCCCTAAAGATTTATCTGATAGGGAATGCATGATTAAAAAGCGAGGTACAGGCATACTATGTGATGGAGACTGCTGTTCAGAGTCTTCTAGACGTGGTCGTTTACCAATAAGCAGATTTTTAATTTTTTTATTTGGAATGGGGGGATCCATAATTAAAGAGAGAGAGATTCAGTTCCCCTTGACCCCACCCACCATGGAGTCCTACGAGGGGACTCACAACAATGTCAATCAAGGACACTGCAGCAATGCCAGGGTTTCGTGAGCACTATACCCAAACACCAGTATCAGACACGATGTCCACAACACCCGTTGAGAATGCCCAACACTGATACTCAGTTGACCCTAGCCCCAGTGGACCAGCCGATTGACCTTAGGGGGGCCACCCGTCTACAGGAATTCAAGGCCAAAGTGGTGTGTTGCAGTGCCCCAGACACCACACAACCACCAGGATCCTCTACTCCCCTTCACGGGTCACCACGCACGGCAAACACGTGGGTGGATGTTTAGATCCCAGAGAAAGTAACTGAAAATACAGAACCTTCCCTGGGAGGTCCCCTCACCACGTACAGGAATCCACGTCGAGGGGGGAAAATTAGGTGAAAAATCTGAGATTCACTGTATTTCTTAGAATAACTCAAGGACGAAACCTTAAGAGTTTAATGAATATAATGATATCTCTTCCAAACCGAACAAAAGATAAATTTCTCTTGTCCATAACAAAATCACAGTAAAGATGGACTAAGTTTAGAAAGAAGACATAATAATCTTCGAGATTTAATAAATTTGAATGAAAATTCTTCTACTAAAATCGAAGATCTCAGGAAAAATCAAACAAATAGAAATAGCATATCACACTGTTTCACAATGAACGCTTTATTATAACAAATGTGAATGTACTGCATTGAGAAATAACTTTAATATTGTAATATCTTATATGCTTAAAACAATTTTCTCATGTAATGTTTGATGTGATGAATAAATTGAAGTCTGAAATGTGCCAAAAATTAATAAAACAATCAATCAATGGAACCTGAAAATAATTCTGTACATTATAATCAATATTGTTGTTTCAGATCTTTGTCTGCTGAGCCAGGAATGTTCTTATTCTTTGCAAAAGTTCTCTCTTCACTGCATCTGGGACCAAAGCTAAAACAATAGAAAATAACTGTTGTTTTACATCTGGAAGCAAAGCTAAAACAATAGAAAATAACTGTTGTTTTACATCTGGAACCAAAGCTAAAATAATAGAAAATAACTGTTGTTTTACAACTGGGACAAAAGCTAAAACAATAGAAAATAACTGTTGTTTTACATCTGGAAGCAAAGCTAAAATAATAGAAAATAACTGTTGTTTTACAACTGGGACAAAAGCTAATATAATAGAAAATAACTGTTGTTTTACATCTGGGACCAAAGCTAAAATAACTGTTGTTTTGCATCTGGGACCAAAGCTAAAATAATAGAAAATAACTGTTGTTTTACAACTGGGACCAAAGCTAAAACAATAGAAAATAACTGTTGTTTTACAACTGGGACAAAAGCTAATATAATAGAAAATAACTGTTGTTTTGCATCTGGAAGCAAAGCTAACATAATAGAAAAT